AAAAAACGGTGAATTAGTATGGGATACGGAGCTGCGGCGCTCGCTTGCGTGCGGCGCCCGCTTACCGGATACGTTATGTGGCCGCAGGAGATGACTAATCCGCTTATATCATCGCCTTGCTTGACCGGACCGATCATGCAACCGTATTGATTTATGACGATATAAATCATGCAATTCCGCTCATTTATGACGATCGTGAAGCCCCTGAAACTGCATAAATATCGGCTTCATTATCGTGTAGTTAGAAAGAATTAAGACCTTCATTCAGTTGAAAACGATCATATTCCTTGGTTGAATAATCGCTTCTCGGAAGACCCACAGTAAATCTGCCACATATTATTATCGCTACTCTTACCGCTTTCCATTGCTGCCTACTGCTGCCTACTGTAAGGTCCTTACACAAGAGACAACATTGAAGGCAAAACAAGAAGAGCGTGAAGCAGAGGGAACGAGAAGGGAAGAAGAAACAAACGACATCAGAAATATAGTATACTCATCATCAATTGGCCTTGTCGAACAATTCAATCTTTCCCCCCCAGTAGACCTCATCCGAATCCACCCAGTGGGGCCTCATCCGGACCCACCGTCGACTGGTCAGCCTCGGTTTTGTCTTCTTCTGGTACAAGTATAATAGAGGGCTCTTGTTGCGTTCCTTCAGCTTCCTGTCCCTCCTCACCCACGTATACCGGTTGACGATCATCTCCCTCCTCCAAGCCAGACTTGAACTGGATATGGGGAACCTTGCCTTTCTTGTAGAACTCTAGGATGTCAGAGGTAGACTTGATTGCCTGCGCCTTTGCTTGGGTGCCCAGCTTGAGTTCGTTCTTCACCCCCCATGCCTCCGGATTGTCAAGGTAGTCCATAACGGCGTCGTACCCCATCGAGAGGAAGGGCCCAACATAGGGTATAATGCCTAGGCCAACACCGATAAGGTTCCGCACAGACTCTCTAAGCCAGTCGAAGTCAGCTTTGGTCGGTCTTTCCTTCATGTCCGTGCTCTCTTGTAGGTTGATGACATCGGCATGCTTGATGTACTGGTCGCTGAGCTCGACTTCCCTCGCCTTCGTCATTTGCCAGGGCTGGATAAAGTCGACATCACCCGAGTTGAAGAGCGTGATAAACTGATACGTGTCTAGATACTTCTCGTCGCGCATTTCACTCGGCACATGGAGAGTTAGCGCCAGTTGCTGGATGTCGAACCGTGCGGTCCACGTGGGTTGATAACCGAGCCCCAGTTCTCTGTCCTTTGGGATTTTGAGCTCCCCAACGGTGAACTCGGTGGCCATGCCGGGTAGATTGGGCTCCTCGGGAACGTCTGGCTCTTTCACAGTCTTTTCCCGGGATGGAAAGCTCAGTTGCTCGCCATGCTGTGCGGCGTACTGCACGGCCTGGGCACGACTTTGGTTCTTCAAATACCCCCCGTAGAAATCCGCCCGCGTATACGTTTTGAGCGTCAATGAGTTGTGGAAGAACTTCAGCTGTATGTACCGCGTCCACTCTTTATACTTCTGCTGCGGCATCGCATAAAAGGCGGAGGGCAAGTAGATCCCTCGGATCGGGTAGGTGAGATCAACCCACAAGAAGCGCTCCTCCGGAGTCGGCATTCGGACGGGGATGAATGCGACCTGGTTATACCCAAGCCACTGCGAAAGGTTTCGCCCGTCCCCGTTGCCGTGAAGGATATCGGCGCGGCTCATCTTGGTGCTTCTCGGTCCTACACCGCACCAGAGATCACGCCAGCGGACATAGGTCCGACTCGCATATTGAATAGTCTGCTTTTCCGCACGAGGATTTCCCGTTCCAGGAAGATTGGGTTTCTTTCCCGATGACGTGAACACTTCATCGATGCTTTTGTTGACGACAACCTTGAGGAGCAGGTAGTTTTTGAAGTCATCCGGGCTTGATCCTCCATGTATGAAGGAGGTCACGGTGAAACTTGCCTGGTCCTTCGGGGCCTGTGGATGTCATGGCTGCTGGTTCGCTGTAGTTGAGGGCTCGTGAACGAATATGTGAAATAGAAGTATAGCCTGGTAGGGGAGGAAAGAAAGATGGAATAGCAATGGGCGGCTCCCGGAATTTATCCACCCCCATCAGGCGGGGTAGAGCCATGAGGAAGTCGTAACAACATCAATAGACTTACGACGCCGTGTAACAGCGATGGTTACGAACTTATCAGCTCAAATCATCCAAGCCACATGCAAGTAATTTCATGCTGGAATCATCGCCAATAGGACTGAGCGTAGTTGGATGATGGTGATTATGTGGCTCGGTCCTGATCCGTCGCGGTTTCTAGCGATTCGTCACGAATCTCCGCCGGGCTCAGCGTGTCGATACCATTTGAGAGTGAATCCCAGGTGCTCAGGCTCTCCTGAAGACAGGAGCTGAGGAAGCCCCCGACGCTGCAGGCTCTGACAGAGAGCTTGTTTCCGCATGAAATCCTCCGTTAAGTTATCTGGATGCACACCACGGCCGTAGCCCGGTGGTTCGCTGTCATTGGATATCTCGGCGTTTACTGGTTTGTCGTTGTAGCGGAATGCCACGGCCCAGCAGTGCCAGAGCGTACGCCAGAAGTTTCGAGTTATGCGTCCCAGGGCCGTTACCCACCGGGAAATGAGGTTTGTTTTGGCGTTACTGCCTTTGGCGTTTGGACGACCCGATAGTAGCGTCTCAATGTTTGAAGCCAAGTCCGCGATCATCTTATACTCGTTGTGCCACCATTTCTTGATGATTTCGTCGATCAACGGGTCACTGTTCAGCTGGGGAAAATCCATATTCTGTAGTAATTCCACGACCTTGGGACCATGTTCCTTCGGATCTTCAGTGAGGCATTGATCCCCATACACTTCCATACCATAATTAATCAAGTAATATAAGGAACCGAGGGCAAATTGCTCGGTTCGAGGACCTAGGAGGCCCGAACTTCCACAGCGTCCTTCATATGGCTCGCTATTGTTGAGGACCCTTCCATATGAGGCCATACAAGCTTCAAAGTCTGTCCCAATTTCTGCAGTACAATCAAAATCAGATAATTTTAATTGATTGCGATCAAGCAAGATATCTTCAGGTCGTAGATCGCCATGAGCGAGATTCGGAGATTCAAGAAAAGCAACAGCTTGGGCAAGGTCGTTCATCCATTTTTTCCGCAAGGCTGAAGGTTCCAGTCTTTCGATTTTAGTAATGATCATAGTTTGTTCGTCTCGAACATGATTACTTTGTATTCGAAACCACAGGGACTCGTCTTGTAACGCAGTTAGTTAACACATCTGTAAGATAGGAATAGGGTTCGTACCTCGCATATATTCAAGGAAAATTCCATTATCAGCATATAGAAAAAATTGCACTATAGAAGGGCAAGGTGGTTGTTGTAAGAATGTTTCGTAGATCTTGAGCTCTTTCTGAAATTGTTCTCTTTCGAACTCTCCGGTCTTAGGGACCTTAACCACGATACGAGGATGAACTTCGTACACAAAGGAAATGTCCCCCTTCCAAACCCAATGAACCTCAGGAAATTGATCTTGAATGGCCATGACGAGGTTAGGTTTGCATGAAAGAGAATTTTGTCGATTGCGCGCACATAGAAAATTGTGGTGTATATGTGAGCGCTGAACAAAGAAGGGAAAGGGGTAACTAGGGGGGAGCTGCTTCATGATAAGGTAAACCCATGTGGTTTGATGCCTGACATAAAAGGCCGAAATACAAACCGTACCCTTGCATAGGGTCTAAGAGTTTCTCTCACCAGCCTCAGTAAGTTTACCCAGTAGTGATACTCACTGGAGGCTTGGGTTGATCTCGAAAGTCAAGCAAGTTAAGGCCGGATCACGATCTAAAACTTTCTCCGATCGGGAAAGTGGGTTGGGGCTGGGAATGGAACCGACTCGCAAGGGGTATGAATAGAGGAATATATGCCCAAGAACCTTTTGATAACAGAACCCTACGCTTGGACAGCAACTTTTCCTAGCTCTAGATCCTCGTGTCTCATTGTACTCCGTAGTAATGTAGCTTCTTGGCGGGGCACAGACCTTCGAAACTATGCATCCTAAGCGTGATATCACAATTGCACTGACCCTCATCCGCGAGTCAGAGGGGGAGCTGCAGCCTCCTGCAGTACTTTCGAACGTAAAACATTTGTTTCAAGTTTCCCTCACATACGAAAGCCAACCATGCCAGGCATCAAACTGAACTGACATTCACGATGAGGTGAAGGCGCTAGGAAAGAGAGGAAGATCTGTGATCGTGGCTAAAGGGCAAGAGTTGTTAACCTGTGCAGAGTCTACCAAGCTGAAACTGATGAAGAGTGAGCTAACAAGCCAGGTCGTCTTTGTCAGGAACATGCAATTACTTTTCAAGCCTTCAGTGAAATCAAAACTGGACTCTCCCGCAGTTCAAAAACGAAAACATCTAACCTATGAGCGATGCGAAATACCCAAGCGAGTGACCCCAAACAAATTGAATCTATGGGTTTCACCATTTAATCCTAGCGCTTGGGACTCGAATATACTCTCAAAAACCACATTTGATTACATCGTCGAATTTCTAGAGCCTGGTGATTCATAGCCATGGCCTTCGCATGTCTACAAGATTTTAAATACACTGGCGGAGGAGCAACCTCTTTGCCAGTTCTCCGATTTTAAAAAGGATTTAAATTCAGTATAGAAACTCCCACCTGAACAGCCGGTAAGTGTCAAATGCAAGCAGTGAAGCACAATATTGAGGTAGAACGGAATAGGATATATTCATGTTCCCAGGACAGGCAGACACAACAAATGGAGATGACGGCGTTGATGGTAAACAAGATTGTACACTTCCCGAATGGATGCTCATGACCACACAGAGAACACTCGGAAGGTCATCAAAAGGACGTCTGTTGCCCTACCCTTCAAACTAGACAAACCCCTTTAAGCTCTATCCCCAGTCCACAACTTGTCATCATGTTATTCTCACTATTTCAATTGCGAACCAGGTGACTGCAGTCCTTACTAATGTACCGCGTGAAGAAGATATTCGATTGAGCTGGGAGTTCTCGACCCGGTCTTGTATCTGTTTTCTTGTTTAGTAGGGACCAGGATGTTAACTTGGTAAGACGTACAGTACATGGTTGCCCGAATTCATAAAGTGTTTGCACTCATCGCCTGCCGGAGTCCATATTATGCCTCCTCTTCAAACATCCCGAGTCAACAGTTCTCACTGTATCAACGCACAGAGATCTCAACGTTGTTTATCACCAATCGCGATCATATGCAGCTTCAATGAATTTGTGCATGCATGCGGTCACTATGACATATTTTTCAGAGGTGACGACTGCCCCGAAGGCAAGAAAAAGAAAAACAAGAAATTTGCAGGTCGGGATTGAAACACCACACAAACAGCACGCGCGGGCCATCACTCTAAGTTGTCTTTGGCAAGGACTCTCATCTGGATATGCATGGACAATCAGCACACGCACCAACTCGCCCATGCCACGATCCGGAAGAGTAATAATGGAGGTTAGTACCTATACTCTTTTGGTGATCCTATCATATTTTAGACGTTCTGATTATTGCAGTAATCAAACATGATCATATGAATAAACTAAATAGAGGCCTGGGTAGCTAAATGGCCTCAAAATTGCTTTTTTAGGGATGAAAGATATCACCACGACGCCAGGAGACTCCAGGCTGATCACGACGGCTGAAAATGAAGACAAAATGACCGCTTCAACCGCTGAGTTGACTAGGAAGATGGAGAGGCAGATGAGGTGGAGGCGTCTTTAATTGCCACCTCGCTGCATGTCTTGACTAGATGTCTCATAGATATTAGCACTAGGCATACGGCTGGGAACCATGTCTTTCCCACCGGCACTCACAGTTACTCTGTATACTCGGTTGGAGGAAAACAAGTGCTTCGGATTGGACTATGAACTTTCATTATTATCACATTTTCACATCACTTCATACATGCAATCACCCGGCGCAAATTATGCACAGTGCAAACATAGATAGCTACATTATGCCGAGGCCGTCACGCTACGGGCCTTGAGATATTCATAGTCGGGCATCGCGTCTCGAACCCTCTTCTCCAGCATATCGGCCGGCTCTTGACCGAATTCCTCCTTCCACTTGGCAGCCTCCACGGCGATATCCACCACGTCGGGCGTCTTGGACTTTATGATCCCAGATGACCCCGTCAACGTGGAGACCATAACACCTGCGGCCTCGGGACTCCACAGGGTCCCCTGTTCCGTGTTCGCGTCCACGTTAGCGTCCACGTTGATGTTCTGGGCCCCGATATCCTTGGCTGCTGGCTTGTTCTCCCACTCGAACTTGATCGCGTTGGCGTCGAGACCGGTCAGTTCGCAGAACCGCACGATCGCCTCGGGCTTGTGGATCACCTCGTGGGCGTCCAGGATGACGGGTCTAGCGTCGGGGTCGTCCTGCTCTAGACACCAGTCGTAGAGCAGCCGCGAGAACCGCAGCGTCATGTTGGCCGCCATGACGCCGGCGATGTTCTCGTCTGTGATCACGCCCAGCTTGACCATCTTGCCCATGGCGCGGTAGAAGGACGGGAACATCAGTGCCGGGTGGCGGACGATGAACGCCATGTGGAAGGTCCGCAGGTACTCGTCGGGCAGGATGGTATAGTTGGTGGGCGAGAACGTCGGCGTCGCGGTATAGGTGCTTGGGACCTGGAGGCGGAACGGAGAGCCGGCGCCTTCTGCGTCACCGTCACCGTCACCGTCACCGTTGCCCAGGGGGCCTTCCTCGGTGGCAGTGCTGGTGTTCTCATCCAGATGCAGGATGCTCTTCAGGGCCAGCGGGTCGATGAACCAGGGGGAGTGTTCCTTCGCGAAGAACACCTTGCCCTCTTGGCTGGCTTGGGAGGTGCCCTCCTCGAGCTGGTCGAAGCATTTCTTCAGGGCGGACTGGATCTCGGAGTGATCTTCCGGGGTCCATTGGTCGAGCGGCTTGTAGATGCGGTTGTCATTGGCGGTGGCAACGAAGGAGTCAAAGAAGTAGTAGCCGCCCTTGTCGTTCGCATAGACGTTGGGCTGGTCCGGGAGGGCCAGGATCTTCAGCAGCAGATTGGAGGCCGTGCGCGGGTTGCTGACCAGAAGGATGCGACGCGGAGGGAGACGAGCAGGGGCCATTTTGAGCTGATCAAATATATTAAGTATAGACCAAGAAGAATGATTGGTGCTCAGAGACAAGGTTAAAAAGGCTTAACGGCGAGGGAGTCAAACCAGAGGAGGAAACGATGGTGAAAGGACGGGGTCCGATGGTGTGATCGCGGCAGTTTAAATAGTCCAGTCCAGCCCTATTGAAACAGTATTGGCTACAGTATTTACTGTTTATTCTTTATTAAACCGGCATCTCAGCCTTCGGATATCCGCATGGGGATTCGGACGTCCCATCGCCGTCAATCTCCGAGCTGATACGGTGTCTTTGTCTCGCACAGCATCTCAGACCCAATGATTCTCTCCTCTCGTCTGGTTCCACTCGCCCAACATGGGGGGAAATCTCGCGTCGAGTCATTGGAAGGAATCTGGTGGGCGGCAGCGAACGTGTGAAACAAACGGCTCGCTCTCGGAACTTTCGCGCTCATGTCAACGCCGATTCCGAAGCAGACGGGGTCATCATTGGTGGTTGAAAACTTGAATGACAGTCGGGTGCAGTAGGGCATCTCCACTATTTGCAGATCATTGGAGGGGGTTACGGTTGGGTTGGGCCGTGGACGAGAGGGGAGGGATCCATGAGAGTCGGCCCACCACGGACCTTTGCATCTCTCTTCTTGGCTGCCTTGACCTGGCCACTGGGACATTTTCTCGGACACAGAAATTGACAAAAGATCAGGGGGACGACTTGATAGTTTGATTGCAGTGAAGGGCTGTTCTTTGTCTCGTTTATCCAAGCCAAGCCATTCGAACAGTTTCTATATCGACCAGGCCGGGATGGGATCCACATTGTTTGTTAGAAAGCGCCAGAGGTCCGCTATCGGTTCTAGCCTCTGCTGCCCTCTCGTTAAAGACAGACGGAGCCATGTTATCTACTGTGGACTATCTGACAGGGTCTTTTTTTTTTTTTTTTGCCCCCCCTCCTCCATCCCTTCCCACCGTCGAAATCCATCGGTCTCCAGTCCCAACATGTCCATCATCCTCCCCACACTCTGCGTGACCATATCTTCCACTCCCTCCGGCATGGTATAGAAGGCAGGCACGGGCGGAAAGATCACCGCCCCGTACCGAGCCAATGTCAACATGTTCTCCAGGTGAATGCAGCTGAGCGGCGTCTCTCGCACCACTAGCACCAACCTTCTCTTCTCCTTCAGCGTTACATCGGCTGCTCTGCAGATCAAGTCGTCGGCAAATCCCGTCCGCACCGCACTAAGCGTTCTCATGCTGCATGGCACGATGACCATCGCGTCGGTCTGGAACGAGCCACTCGCCACGGCGGCGGCCGCGTCGTTCCCGGGGTACGTCCGCGATGTAAGAGCGCGGATTTGCTTGATTGTGTACCGGGTCTCGTATTTGATGGTCTCGGTGGCCCAGCGGTTGATGATTAGGTGTGTCTCGACGTTGTGTGCTCGGAGGCGCTCGAGGGGACGGATTCCTAGAATTGCGCCGGTGGCGCCGGTCATTGCCACAATGACACGAGTTGGCCGTGTTGATGAGGCTGGAGCAGGTGATACCGAGGAAAGGCTTGGTTTAAGCTCTGAGGCGGGGGAGATTGTAGGACTGCGAGAGACGGGGAAACGAGCTCCGAGGAAGAGTAGGCTGCCTATCAGGCCGATGGTGAGGGCCACCGTGATGCCCATAATAATTCCGCGAGGGGTTTGTAAGACGCATTATTTTCGCGTGAGAGATGATAGAGTTTATTTGGTTTCTTGTTTATCTTGAATTTTCAGATACGTCATGACATGGTCCGCGGGGGTGAAAAGTATCGGGACTACTTTAAGTCCAGCGGGATGCTAAATCACATTTAATCTGCCGGGGCGTTGACTGATGCGTGACTTTGATTCTACATGAATGGTTGGCTGTGCTTGTCGGATTGGAGCCGATCGGGACATTCTTCTGACATTAAAAGATAGGCACAGTTGAACTTTCTTCAGGATCTAAATGAGGAAGGAGAATTCTTGAAAAATATTTTCTCCAATGTTGACCATGACAAATTTTTGCAGTTATTGTGTACATAATATAACATTAGGAGCGCGAGCACTTTTGCTTAAAAGCCCCGTAAGGTAGCCGGTTTATTTTGCATCCTAGAGGCAGCAGGGGTGAAGTAAATACCCAGGAATGTAGGTAACTTTGCCGGATGATAAAGTCTTCGGGACTGTCTTCTTAGCGACCGGTCAAGGAATCACCAATAGAATCAAGGAAAAGAAGAAGAAACGTCCCATACTATGCCGACAGGGAATTGTTTCACCTTGAATCTTCAGCGTTCTAGCGTAGAATCAGGTGCCTCCGTACCGGCACAAAAATGGCACGAACCAGCACAGACCAGCCCATGTAGCATCTTCACGGCATTCCTGCGGCTTTTCAGAGGAATACAACGGTATGTTGCGACAATTGGCAAGCTCGGTAGACCACATGATGGCTCATCAAATCCATTGAGAAATTCAGCCGAAATGTTAGCAGTGTAGACATAGAGGAGCTCCGTCCGTGCGCCAGAAATGGCGAGTACGTTGACCTTGAAAGACTGGTCTGGATTTCGACAAATCGGCGCTATGGCCGGACAAGATGCTGCAGTGTTGTCATCTTGCTGTGTTATCTGGCACGCGGTTGTTCTGGCTCTGTGCTGACTATCTGCATCTTGTTGGCGCCGCCGCTGCTCCTGGGCTAGGGCAATCAGCATCGCCATGATATATGGGTCCTCTGCTGGATTATGGGGCTTAATCAATCGCAAATGCTTATTGCGAATCCTTATGACAGGGTAATTATCGAAACCACAAGGCCGACCATTTATGTGGTTCTTTTGGAGCGACCTTATCCAGTTAAAGCTGATATAGGCGAGGCATGGAGAGGCGGAGTTACTCGGACCTTTGCGGCGGACTGACAACTGAAATAGAAAGATAAGTATTCAGAGCTATTATAGTGTCAGTAATATCAAGATAGCATGTGGGGTGGTCTGCATTACGATAGGGGTCAGATATCAAAGGCACAAAGGATGTTCCTGATGGCTAGTTTCTTGACGAATTGACCCCTACACCCTGGGAGATGCGTCATTGCGCGAAGGAGATCTGAAGATGTCCGAGCTGTCGGCAGGTTGTCTCTACTTCGCCGTGTTTCAGGAATGTTAGGGTCCTGTGATTCTGATTGCGGTGGCCGATCTTTCTTCGTCTGCGGGTTCTTCTCCGCCGCGAATTTGCAATCTAGGTGTCGCAACTGCCTCGAGATCCAGGCAATGGGTTTAACATAGAGGCGCTCACGGCAATTGGCACGGAGGATAGACAGGATTGAAGTGGGCTTGATTGCGTTGCCTTGAGTATCGAGTGAAGTGAGACACGCTCGTTGTTTTGAAGGCAACTGAAGGTCATCTGCTGCCTTCCGTTTAGATGCACGTTGATCCGACATTTCCTGCTGGAGTCATCAAACAGTGGTGTGCTTGGTAGTGCTTCAAGAGAAAGACGAATTGATTAGGGAAGGGGTTTATTGATGGTGGCACACCGCTTCCCATCACATATCTACCTATCCAGGCATCCACCGCTACAGCCTAGTAGTATAACCAACCCCTCGTGGCTTATTCCATCTCTTTTCAAGGGTGTATCCGCCATGACCCCCAGTATTGTTAAGAGGTTGCTCAAGCAACTCGCTCGCTAACATTGCTGCATGGAGCTTGGCGCCGGTTATAGCGGAGACTTCTGGTAGCCAACGCCTCTATAGGGATCTCTATGACTCATTTTTGGAGAATACACACTCGTTGCATCTCATCAATAAGTGTGACCAGCTACAGCCTGTTGCACATCTTAAAGAATGATAACGAACCAGCTCTGCCAGTAGAGGGACAGTGCGACATCGATTCGGCTTTCGATTACTTACTATTCCTGACTTTTCCCGGAGGGAATCGTTGCCAATTATGAAAATTGCCCCGTTTGCGGTCCAGGCGAAGTCATTTCCATGAGACTTCGACCATTCCTGGGTAGATATCCTTGCGTCGGTCTCTCCGGGCAAAGAACAAGCAAGTGACCTGAGACTGCCTTGTTCGCTGGGGCTACTCCATACTTCTATCCAACAAAAGACAACATCCTGGCAGGTGGCTGACTTGTTCTTACCTAGTTGAGAAATGGTGGCAAGCCATTCACGGCCATGCACGGTGGGTGACGAGGGATCCCAGTTGTATTGCTCAAGTTCCTTCGGAGAACGGGTCACTCAGGGGTGAGAGGGCTACCTACCAGGTACCCCCTCAGATCCCCCGCGACCTCTACCATGCTGATCACTTGCTAGCTTTTTCCAGAAGACACAAAACACAAACCTGTACCTTACTTAAGGTGTAGGTACCTCTCTAGGTACCTTGCCAGGTGGGGCAGGTGTCGGTGTATGGCAGATCGCGCCAGGGAGCTCCGTGGTGTTGATGCCCGTGAGCTCGATGCACATTGGTCGATCTAGAAAATTACAGATTGAATGACGGTTGGCGTCGATGGTAGATCAAGAAATGGCCGCAAGAGCAGATTGTCTATAATGTATATAATCGGGTCTTTCCATCGAATATCTTTCTACTACACCGTCTTTCTCGTCAAGCGTCCTTTTCCGCACCCGGGTCTCTTCATCTACCTTCCTCAAGCATGTCAACCACTTCGGAACTGCGCAACTTCGATCTGAATTGGACCTTCGATGCCGCTTCCTCTCTTCCTGCGGTCGATTGCAGCCCTTTAGACTGGCCGCTAGATCTAGATGACCTAGACATTATGAGATTCGATATGCCTAGCCTAGAAAACTCCGCTGGACACCTGTCGTGCACATCCCAGGGATCGCCATTACAATATCCAACCAATGCCACATCTCGTCCAAAACATTTTCTACACAATACCAACTCCCTCAACCAGTACCACGAAACCCATTCGATTGCTCCACACAGACCGAAACAACAATGTGTACCGTGGGATCTGACAAGATCCAGCCTAGCCATTCCTACCAACGCTCACATGAATCCTAAGCACGGCCATCATCAACTCGGGAGAAATATTATCGATCATTCCGCCAATCGCACCGAGTCACGCCCAAAACATTCCTCCGCTGCTTTTGTAGATGGTGTGGGTGAAATGAAGAAGATCCCAACGAAAAGGTACGCCGGCATTCTTATGTATCACTCTTACTAAATCGCGCACTAATACTTCAAAGTGAATCCTCTCAAGCCAAGGTCTTCAAATGCAGATGGGAGGGCTGTCGAGAGAGAAGGAACCACTTCAGACGCGAGGTTGAGTTGATGCGACATATCAAGACTATCCATGTCTCGCCTCAAGCCTACCAGTGCAATGAATGCAATATGTTTTTCAATCGAAGAGACAACCTAGAGGCGCATGCTCGCCGTGTCCATCACGATTGTGAAAGATCGGGTTGAACTTGAAAGTGACTCCTCTATTATGTCTTTCTTATTACCGTTCGCCCTTTCAATCTCGTTCTTTTTCTTCTCCCCTGTCTTCATAATGGCCCAAAAGGGCATTTCGAGTTTCATTCTCTTTTTTAATTTACCCTTTCCTCCCCAAATAGATCACTGGGATACTGATTGTCCGCTATTGCATGCTGAATCTATAATAAAGATTATATGATAATATTTGTTCTTCACTCTTAGTCTACCTACCTAGGTACGACCGTACGATGTACTCTGTATGTGTTTAAACCGATATACTCACTTAAAACACCTCTGTAATTTGTGTTAATTTATATAGGGGTCCGCTACACGCACACCGGCTAAACTTAATTAGGAAAGAGAGGCCACGTCTAGATAAGAAACCGTTTTTTTGACCCTGCGCGGGGTTCTCTGCTTCATGCAACACACGTCTCCGGAGCATCTCTCGTTCCGCTACCAGCGCCGTCACCGTCGTTGTCGTCATGGAGGGCAACGAGGACCTCGTACTCGCGGAAGCGGACTGTGAGCTTCAATATAAGGTTCTTCTGCATGATTTAGAGGATCCTGGCGCGCCTGGCGATCCCAGAGACCTCTGGGACACTATAGACTATCCCGAGCTTCCCGCTGACCCTCTTGCTGACCCTGCGCCTTCTGAACCCGTTCCCATTGCTCCTGTTGATCCCTGCTTAATGGTCCCTGAAACTAATCCTGAAGCTACACTAAAGAAGAGAACCAATCCCCCCTGCTTATCTCCACCAGTATCCTTTGACGACGAGCCCGTGTTGTGCAACGAATCAAACGACCCTGACAATTCTATCGATTTTGCTGCTGAATCGCATAATTTCGAGGAGATCAACAAAGAGCCTCTCTTTCCTAATCTGGCTCCGCCTTCGTCTCTGCCTCGCAAGCGAGTAAGAAGGCCTGCCAACTCTTATATCCGATCTTCTTCACCTGACCCTCTTGCGGCGCCGACGAACCAGACATCTCGATATGGGAGGAGACTCAGGCGCGTGAGACAGGATAGCGACGAATATCCGTATCATTAGCTACGTTTAACGACTTTTTCCTCATGTATGATGTACTAACGAAGTAACGATGCACTAATGACGTTTCTTGTACTAATCTTAATTGTTTTAAAATTACGTTTAATGGATTTTCTATGCTTAATATGACAACTTTAATATAAGCCAAAAATCGTATATTCTTCTTGTTGCGCTGCAATTCCTATATACTCCCCGCTCGTCTGCTTCCCGATTAGGAAGGACCCCTGGATGACTTCCCCTCTCGAGGTTACTAATCCCCTGACTCCTGTTGACCAATCAGAGCGAGGGCCGGTGTGCGTGTAGCGGCCCCCTTTATATAATCAATTTACTAAAATAAAGTTTATTCACCCCAGCATGTTAGCTCAGGGGAAGAGCGCCGGGCTCATAACCCGGAGGACCCACGATCGAAACGTGGACATGCTATTTTTCCCATGTTTTTTTAACCAGTGTTAGCCAATACTAAAACTACTTTATCGCATCCACGCACACTCAGGCACTAATAAACTTGAGCCATTTATGCCAAATTAATATCTCATCAGTACCGTAATGATTTAAATATAGAACACATGGGACCAGCAGCAAGTCCACAGATTGGCCCATAATAAATGAAAAGTAAGCAGATGTTTTTACTCCTGAGAGCCTGAGTTACAATTCTCTCTGCCTTAAGGTAGGTAGGTACCTTGAATAGGTAAGTACTCCGTTTTCGGTCTGATGCTGTTCATAGTTCACAGTTGCATATCGGAAATCGGTACGAGTAAGCACGGTTGTGCATAACGATTCACGGACGTGGTCAATGTCCTAAGAGCCTACTATTCTTCATATATAGATATAATTTTCTTCATATCCTTGTATATTATGAAAATGTCTCCCTACCTAGTACCCTGATCCCTATATACAAACATGAAATGTTGTACGTACTTCTCCCCAGTCCTCTTTCCTTCGTTTTAGCTTTCATGATCATTTATAGTATTTCATCGACTACCTTGTTTCGAACGTTACTGGTTTAATTTCTACTTTTTATATCTTTTCATAATGAATTGATTTGGTTCACATTCTTTCTCTTTCTCTTCAAGTTCATAGCTACATACACCTTTTTCTACTTCTCTTCCTTCTCCCCCTTCCCACTAACCAGACCCCAAAAAACATCAGGTTTCTAATCAAAACATTATATAATGCGGCCCATACCCATAAAAGCAGAATACGAGAGCAAACAAAGACTCTCTATAGTTCCAATCCCAACAGTCGAACTGGCAACACGATGCATAATCGACCACCTCGCGTGATTCCCATACACCTGCGCCAAGGCATGGTCAGGTGAAAAGCGCGAGGTCAGCTCCATGATGCTGGAGACCAGCTCTTCAGGCAGATCGCTCGAGTCATCGAGGTCCTGGCATTCAAAGCACCAAAGTGGTTGTCAATGACAGAATCTGAAGTAGAGACATATTCCTTCACCCAACGCCGAAGGCGAGACTTGCAAGCTTGGAGCGTCGAATTCGGACCCAGATCCTAGTGATGTAGAGCTTTTAATGATACTGGGTTGATCTCCAGGCGAAAGCAGGATATCTGCTCTGTGGGACGCTTCTGGCAGATCGTGCATTCTGTCTTGGGTTTGCTCTTGGCAAGCTCCTCTGTGCTCTGTTGGTAGAGAATCATGTTGAGTAGATGAGCCCGGAAGCGAGTTTGGTACACCTTCATTTAGAACTAATTTCAGTTTCTTTTCCAGCTACGCTAGTCGATCTTACTATAGATGATTCAGCATGGTGGAATTGCAAATGAAAGTGAAGGAGAACATACAGTGCGGGTCTCCTGCACTGCTCGGGAAGTATACGAGCATCTCTGCTTGAGACAGATGCAACTAGAGCATGCTGGCCTTTCACCAGGACAACGGGCCTTCTTTCTCCTAGATTGTATTATTAGGATTCAACGAACTAGGCCAAGACGCAAAAATGGGATGAAATAACAAACCTGCAATTCAAACAGGCTTGATTGGAGCGCAATCTTTCGTGAATCTCACCCGCCATGAAGATATGATAGATAATTGCTTGACAGGATGCAGCGAAGAAAGACAGAACAGACGACGTCGACTGACAGTGGGGGCGGGGTCATATTACACAGAACTAACTTACGGACACTTGGCTGTCTCTATGTCCCTTACTTCTGTATTCCATATCGTCATAGCCAAGGGCTTTCTTGTTACATTTTTGTGGAATTTCATGCCCAAAAATAGAAAAGTAGCCCAGCACATATGCAAACTGGCAAAAGCAGCTCAGATCGTAAATTTCATCGAGTTGTGATTTGGCTATGTAGAGAGAGAATACGTACACTATCGCGAGTTATGTTATTTGCCGCAACGCTTTCAATATCATATATTGCAATGGCTTCGTCTGAAGTGTAACACCTAAATTCTCGCCATTCAATGCTCCTCGCTTCCTGCTTCTTAGAGTTGACTTGATATTCCAGACTTGACAAAGTCATCTACAATGTCGTTAATATGAAGCCAAAGAGAGGTATGATCCAGGTCCTGCATGAGGACAATGTTAGCTCGTCGTATTCAGCTCTCTCCAGAAATTAACTCACCCTCGTGCGTGGATCAGCCTCAACCCTCTGCAAAGCCCGAATAGCAGTTTCTCCAGCAGTAGGATCAAGTCCCACCCTTCTAGCCGAATTCACACCAATCCCAAGATCCTTCAGGCCCAGGGCCGCGGTGAACGCTCGGCGATATCCATTGCTAGACGGCGCCTCACTGACCAGGCCCGGAACCGGCTGTTCCAGATGCATGACCCACGAATTCGCCGTGCCATCCGTCATGCATTTCCAGAGGACATGCTTATCAATCCCATACTTCAGCCCCAACGCCATGCCTTCGGTGGCGACTAGGTTATTGCACAACGAGACATAGTTGTGCGCGATCTTCGCCACCTGTCCCATGCCCAGTTTCCCGCAGAATTGGGTCTTGTCCGGAAGACCTACCAGTGAGAGGATTTCTAGCACGCGCTTCCCCATCACGTCTTTCTCCGACGTCGGCTCCGCATGCCCGACCATGAACGAGAGAGAGCCGGAATTTGCTCCCCAGACCCCGCCCTAGACGGTGGCGTCGACGAACGTGCCCAGACCGGCGTCGATGATGGTTTTGCCGATCTCCATCGTGGATTCGATCTCGATGGTGCTGCATTCGATGATGAGTCGTTCGGGGTCTTTCGACGCTGCGATCACCCCGTTTTCGGCGTCGAGGTAGACCTGTCGGACGTGCTTGCCGGCTGGGAGACTTCACAGGATGGTGTGGCATTTCGAGGTCAGGTTTTTGGTGGACGAAGAGTTTTCGATCTTGCCATGGCTGGTGTACTCGGCGACTAGTTTCTCGCAGGCCTCGGCGTTGATGTCGTGGATGTGTAGGGTTGTGGTGGATGGTAGCTTTTTGCGGAGGTTGCTGGTCATACCGTAGCCGATGATTCCAAGGCCTGGGGGTGTGAGGAATTTAATCAATGATGGGACGTCTGAAGGACATACCTATCACCCCGACGTCTGTAGCCATTATTGCTGTAGGCGTGGTGTCGTTGCTATATTTTTGGAATTGGAGGATTCTCGGTCAAGTATGTTTGAGTGATCTGATATAGATACATTTCGTCTGATGCCGATGAGAGAAGCCATATTTATAAGTACCCAGGTCTTCAGAGATGTATAGTTGATAGAGCATCATAGATGGTTGTCCGTCGCGGCAGACGGGAGACGGGCCTTGTGCCGTAGTATTCCACGCCCGGGAGATGGACCGGATGCCGTTCACGTGGCCGGCATCGGACGAAACAGGTTCAATTAAGCAGACGTCTTGATAGCGCATCACACTGAACAGCCAGCTAGTCTCGCTCATAAGATGCTTTCCGATCAGCCGAGGGACCCATGGGAAGAATTACGAGCGGGGAATGAAGGCCTGCAGAAGCGGAAAACCCGAGGAAGTGCGCTTATCCCGGCATATCTTAGATGTAGCACTACCAAAGCATCTTCTAATGCCCAGACAATAAATCCCTAGATGTCAAGATCCTAAGTAAACTATCATAGGCCAAGCAAAATAGCTAAGCACCTCATCCCATACGCTGCAAGCACTAGAAATGCTCAAAAAACAGATAATCCCAAATGCAACCTATAACCCACAAACGAACCAGAAACGCCATCCACAAGGTATGGATAATCAGCATATGCACCGCTAACCAGTAAATATAGTATCCTTCTCAATAGCTCAACACTCCCAACCAAGTTTCGAAATCACCTCCAAGCCCCCAACCCGGGCATCCCCCGGCGCCCAACCCCCGAACTAGCCGCTTGAATCGCCCTCTTCTTCCCCACGCCGCCTTCCTGCTCGCGCACCCCAGCCACGATCTTCTCCAGATTCGTCTCCACCACCACCCCGCCGACAATCATCTCACTGAGCACTGCGTGCATGGTCTCGTACCCGAAGATGAGGTCCAGCTCGCAGACGTTCTCGAACATGCGGTCCAGCGCTTCCACGAAGACCTGGATCAGGTCGATCAGCGCGAGGGGCGACTCGGTGGACGTGGAGATCATGATGAACGAGAGGGTGGCGTAGGTGCGGTAGGTGATTTGCGTGGGGGCGTCGGAGGGGCCGTTCTCGATGCCGGAGCGCGCGCCTTGTGAGAGGAGAGGGGGGAGGGGGAGGAAGTTGCAAGCGCTGGCGGGGCGTTGGGCGACGAGTTTGTAGATTTGTTCGATGAGGGATTGTTTGGTTTGCGTGTCCTGTTTTAGGGGGTTAGTTTGGTTATGCTTGCGCTTGAGCTTGCGGAGGGGGGGAGGGTGGTTTGTTTGGAGGTTTGGAGAGTTGGATGTATGGTGTGGAGCTTGGGGGAACGTACGATTTGGGTGTAGAATTTGGTCAGACGCGGCTGACCCGCGTTGTTGAAGACGAGGACGGCGTTGATCATCGTGACAATGGATGGATTGTATATTAGTCGCTGTGAGTGCTGGAAGAAGTTCAAGTTCAACGGAGGTGGTTTCTTATCGGCGTGGCGGAGGTTCGGCTGACATTCCCTTGTTCCAGGGCTCTTCGGGAAGATTGCCTATCTGGGACGGGAACTTGGAGAAAGCTCCGATTTCTCCATCTTCAATTCCAGCTTGTTATCTATTTATCTCTCTTACTTCCTTTCTCGGTTTCTCCTCCTACAGCTCGATTTCGACGAGCATTCAATCCCCTCACCATGCGACCTCTCAACCAAACCTCCATCTCCACAAAATATGTCCGCCAAACACCCTTCTCCGTCCCTCTTCGCCGAACCCTCTCCACCACCACGCCACCACCACCACAACAACCATCTCAATCACCACCCTCGAACCCCAACAAGAAACGCCTCCACGAGCTCACCCCCACCGACATATCCTACTACTGGGACACCACAATCCCAACTCCCCCGCAACTCACCTACGCCGACAAGATCTTCACGCCCACCCGCCACGGCCCCATTAAACTCTGGTCCGCGAGTAAATTCCGAACCACGCCGCTGTCGTCTGTGGAGCCGGAAGTCGCCTTCTTGGGACGTTCCAATGCGGGTAAATCCTCGCTGCTGAATGCTGTCATGGGGAAGGAGATCTGTTGGACGTCGTCGAAGCCGGGGCGCACGAGGGAGATGAATGCGTTTGGGATCGGGGGCACGAAGGGGGGGGAGTCGAAGGTCGTGTTGTTGGATATGCCGGGGTATGGGCGGGCGAGTCGCGCGGAGTGGGGGGTGGAGATTATGAAGTACTTGCAGGGGAGAAAGCAGTGAGTTACCCTTCTTTTTTTTGTCTTTGTGGAGATTGTTGTTTGTTGGTTTTCTGCTGGGATGGGTGAATGGCTAACTAATGGTTTGGGAAAGGCTTCGACGAGCGTTCCTCCTCATTGACAGTGACCATGGAATCAAGAAAACAGACAAAGATATCCTAATGCTATTCCGACGATACGCGATCCCACATCAAATCGTCCTCTCGAAAGTCGACAAAGTGCTAGCGAAGAAGAAAAGCCAAGTGAAAAGCGGCGTGTCGACCGCCAGCGTCGCCTCGTTACAGAAAATGCTACAGGGCCTGAGACCCGTCGTGCAGCCAGTCGTCCAAGTGGAGGGCCCCGGTGCGCTAGGGGAGATCTTGACGTGCAGCGCGGAGACGACAATGGGTCCGGGACAGGCGTTGGGGGTCAGCGCTTTGCGGTGGGCCATTCTGTCGGCGGCCGGGTTGGACGGAAAGGTCGAAGCGCGGGCGGAAGCGGCTTCGTCGTCTGTTTTTACTCTGTCTGCGTCTGTGTCGTGATGGGGCTTGTATTATACGGGAGCTTATAGGCTCTTGGGTTGGCTATTCAGCTGGGGGAGCCGTTGATGCACGGCTCTTGCTGGTGGAACTTTCGAGGTGAACTGTCCGCGCCAGGGTTTTCCTCGGATTGAACTGTCCACCTTCGGATATTCTCTATTGATGCGTCCTGCGAGGCCATGACGTCTCAAAGCAGACAAATCAGCAACGTTCCTCTCGGACCATGACACGGTTGCAGCTTACGATGGAGAACAACAATGAACTGCCTCATTCCCATGTCTGGACACGGGAACATGGCCCAGAAATTGGAGTTCGCTCTGCGTTCTGGAACAAGACGCTTAAACAAGTGTCTTCTAGTTCATTATTTCACTCTAAAGACAGCCAATTTGGAGGCAAACGAGAAGGTGAATTCTCATCACGAAACCTCATTATATTGGAGATAGACTACGGTCATAGTACATAATGTATCATAATTAACATATAAGATTGACGGAATAGGCTAATTATGTACGAAAGAGTTTGATGTAGTCAAGTCAAGTACTCAAATCTGGGACATTTATGTTGATGAATGCAAGGGGAACATTATGGAACATGAAAGATGTTAGCATGAGTTAGGATAAGATCATATAGCACAATCAAATAGACCCTTGCGTTTGATGAAGGCTGCCAGAGATGAAATGCGAAGTGGACATTATGGTAACATGAAAGTAGGTGGGTCGGAGAAATAAGGTCATGATATGGTGAATGATGCAAATGGACATGTTGAGACGGATGATGGGAAACCCTTTTGGATGCAAAGACGCCTTGTCTTTCGTAATAACTGCATGTCAAAATCCGCCAACCTCGCTATGCAAATCCTCGTAATTAGAGGGACAATTCCGTGAGGGGGTATCGTGAATGTTTTCATAGCTCAAATCAATAAAAAAAATCAAGAAAATCGAAATATAAAGGAAAACACCAGAGGGCGCATGGGAAAAACCAGACACAGTTGATGGTATCCCTAGAAATCATCCGGCGCAAAGGTGGAGATGTTAACAACCCGTGAGTCGAAGGTAGGTGGTCACTGGCAAATATAGTGTACGGGATATCAGGCATCGGATAAGTCGTAATCCTCGTCGGCATCGCTGACTTCGTGGCCCAAGCGGTTGACTACTATGCGTCGTCCTAATTCATCTTCGGGTATTCCATCTCGAGAAGCACCAAAGTCAAGAACCTAAAGGAAAAAAAAAAGTCATTTATAAGGACGACGAAAGTAGAAGGGTCATCTAATCTCACCTCGATATATGTCATACTATCACGCTGGACTGCAGCAACACATTTTCTGTCATTGAATTTGACCTGCCATACTCCGCTAAGATCGGTGAGAAGATCCCGAACGCATTCGCCGGTTCGAACATCCCACATCTTCAGCGTTCTGTCAGATCCTGAAACAACTTTCTGGCCGTCATGCTGGAAACACGTGATGGCGCCAGTATGGGCACTCAGCATGTTTTTACATTGGCCGCTCTCCGGATCCCAAATTCGAAGGGTGGAGTCGGCAGCCGCGGAGACTAGACGGTCGGACTTCAAGTCCAAGAGTCCGACCAAAGAAGTATGGCCCTCAAGGTTATACAAGACGGAACCAGTCTCCAAAGACCATACTTTTACCATGTTGTCCATGGATCCACTGATACACCGGTTCCTCTTGTGGTCCAGAACGACGCTGTAAACCTTGAGGGTATGACCTTGGAGCCTATGCACCGTTTCTCCGGTCGAGATCTTCCACACTCGCACGGTACAGTCATAACTTCCACTGACGAGGGTGTCACCATGGGCTGCGATCGCACGAACCGAATGTTGGTGGCCGGTCAGAACGCGGACAAAATACGGGCAATCGGTATCATCGACATGAGGTCCGCTCTGGTAGTACCCTGGATCGCCGGGTTTAGGGAGCTTCCATACTCGTAGATTCGAGTCCCGGGAACCAGTGATGATCAAGGGTTCTTTTGGCATCATTTCAGGTGCGCCGTTCGCCTTCTTGCCCACCTCCACCGGCAAAACGATTTGTAGGCATCGGACCGTAGAGGTATGACCATGGAAGATCTGAGTGCACCTGGCCCTTTCAATATCCCAGACTCGAACTGACCTGTCAGTCGAGCCGGAAACAAGAGTGTTTCCATGGTACTCAAGAGCCCAGACGCCACCCTCGTGGCCTTCGAGAGTGGCCCTTAGTACACCGGTCTTTGTATCGTACACATTGATGTTGGTATCGTCGCTTCCGGTCAGCACTTTTTCGGCGTCGAACTGCAGGCACGTGACTACATGGCGATCGTGGGCACGGAAAGCGATATGTCTTGGTTTGACGCTAGGGGTCATCCAGGCTTTGTGAATCGAGTGATGGCGCTGGTAGAGAGATTTATAGAGATGAAGACCTTGGAGGGACGGCAGACCGATGTCAGGATATGGAACGGCGGCAGCGGCGGCGTTTGCTGCAGCGTAGGGACCCTCGGCGGCAGAAATTTCCTTTCGCCAGTCCGCTGACTCCGAGTGGTCTGTTCCACTAGACGAGATCTTTCGCTTGGCGAGTTTTCGCGAGGAGACACGTGTGCAGGCCTTTCTCTTTGGCCGACGATGAGACGACGATGACCTATCACTGGGCCCGGCAAGTAAGGGTAAACTGGAAGGCGAACCAGATTCGGGATCGGGTTTGACATAAGTAGAAACACTAAGGTCTCTTTCGCAGTCCTCGGTCCCGCTGGGGAACTGCCATCCCCAGCCCTCCCGGATAGCACGGTCGAGCTCACCTTCGGGGAGAACATATCCATCTCGGTCGAAGAGTTCCTTCCAACTCTTCTCATCGGAATTAATGACATGTCTCCACTTTTTGGACACCTGTGCCGCACGACACATGGTGACGGCGTCGAAATATTTAACGACATTAAGAGCGAGCTCAAGAGGCAGGAGTGCCAAGAAGTCACATTTCAAAGCTGGGTTGACGACGTCGGCAACAAAATGCAGGGTTGGCTTGGGGCAGCGTCTCAAGAGTTGGTACATGAGATACGTCTTCAGTCCCTCTGGAACCGAATCGAAAAAGTCCAGCACGTTGGGGATGTCCATCAACGACGACGGTCGTGGGAGGTCGGAACTCGTGGCCAAGTCGGTATCTTTCGAAGGCACGTTTGTTTTGGCGTCCTCCAGGCGCAGAGAGCCCATATAACGAGCCTCGCTATCAAAACTTGAATCGGTATCCATTTCGGGCTCTTCTTCGGCCGAATCAAAGGAAGAGTCGGGGTTCAACGCGTTCATAGCGGCGACCGGGGAGAGACTAGGACTAGGCAAGCACATGTCCTGAGCTGCCACATTTCCAATGTTAGGGACTTGAGAAAGGGATCCAGCGGACAAGTGCTGGGAAACTTCTTCCGACGCATCATCATAAGTCGTGTCCTGACTTGTATCCACCGTGCCAGGCTCCTCTTCTACTGCCGTTTCTGCTGCTGTATCTGGCAGCTTACCAGCACTTTCCTCTGAGCGGCCCAGGCGTTTGTTTCGCTCGGAGACAACAGTCCTGGTGCGCAGCTCTCTCTTTGGGTTGGATGCTTGTGAATTTGCCAGGGTTTCAACTTCGGACGAAAGAGGAGATCGCAATAGAGTTTCACGGCGAGGGACGTTGGCACTGTGGATCCTTCTCCGTGGGGCTATGACTTCTCCAGCACCGTATACATTGGGCTCCGTTTCCGGTGTTGCCAGACCTGCTGCTATCGGATGATTTGGGGTAGAGCCATGTGAGCGAACGGAACGCCCCGAAGGATCCGATGGAACTCTGTTGGCAGGGGGTCGAAGGGACCCTGGGTGGGTTTCCGGGATGGATAATGGACGGCGCTTGGAGATCGACGGACGGGACGGTTGATCCGATACCTTCGAAGGAGCAAAACGGCGTGGTAACTGTGTATCGTCGGAGCTAAATGAAGTTACCGATCGAACTAGACCGTTGGAGGCCTTCAACGCGTCGTTCTTTTCATTAAGCTGGAGGGGGGTTAGTTTTCAACTGGCTTCCTTGAGGATAAGGATAGGAAGGACAGGACTTACCTCGGTGAGGGTTGCTGTGGTATCCTCGGGTTCATTGAAGACGACTGGTTTCCCTCCCAGATCGAATTTAACGTTCCTCAGCGACGACGGAGTGGGCGACGATGCAAGGGGATAAAGCTTGGGGTCGAGATCTCGCGTAGCACGGGGCGGTTTGATAAACAACGGCGGGAAGGTGGTCGTGGTGGTGGTCGTGGTGGTCACGACGGTGGTTCTCGTGGCAGGAGCGAAAGAAAACTGGCCGATGGAATTGTTGGCAGCTCCCTGGTCCAGGCCACCAGCAGTATCTTGATTGCTCATGATGTAATTTAGAGGTGACAAAATCGAGAAATCGGTCAAGTAGAGGGGAACGCAGCGATAAGATAGGCAAAAGACGCGTGTTCGTGAAGCGGCAGGCGAGTCGACCTGGGGGCGTTGTGGTTATTTACGTGGAAAATCCGAGGTAGCGGCGAATCATTCCCAGCGGACAACAATAGAGATGCGAGTGTTACTGCGAGAGGGGTTCAACGGCCGGGTGGATTTGAGAAGGAAAACAAAAAGGATGAAAGGCGAGGAGTATAAGAGCCGGAGAAAAGGGCAGGTTGGTATGAACGAGGGCGTCAGCACTGTACAAATTTACAGGAACCATCCGACAACCCAAGGGGGGCAGGGGAGTAGTTAGAACATGGCCGCGATAACGATAGGGCGGTAGGCGATGGAACGAAAGAAGAGGCAGCGAAGACGGAAGGAAAAACTAAAATCAAATAAATTTAGAAGCCAAACAGAAATTCCTTGCAAGGGAAGAGAGCGAAGAGAGGAGGAGCGTGGCGTGTTCTGCTGACAAGGAGGTAGTTGGGGTTGAGAGTAGGAATCGAGGGAGGGAGAGACAAGAGGAGAGGAGAGCGAGAGAGGGAGCGAGAAGGGAGGGAGAGAAGGCGAGACGAGAGCTGGAGGTCGCCGTC